ATTTCAGCTCTCTAGCTTTTGTATCTTCTGAGATCGACGCACTCATACGGACGGAAGTACAGAAGAACATGGTTATATCAACTCAACTCGTCGCCATGATCAAGAATATAAATACTTTATGGGGTCTGCGATGATTCCTTCTGTCTGTTACATACTTTTCACAAAACCATTATACCCTGATTCAGTGTATAAAAATATAAAAAATAATAAAGGAAATAAAGGCCAATCTGTTAGTCGAGAAAATAAATTTGGCATAAAGTCGATCTGACCTGATTAAAGTTTAAATATGTAAATTGAGCTTACTCATTAGAATAGTTGGATTGAACGAGGTATTCAAGCCGCGCCTTTGAGCCGAGAAATGCGTAATTCCAGAAAAAGCTCTGAGTAACATTGCCAATACCCTCCTCCAGGGTTCTAACAAACTCCATTTTCTTGTACAGCTTGGACGTGGCTTCATGCGTGGAGTTCTGGAACCAAGTCTCCCAGCCACCGTTGTCTGAAAGATGTGCTCTTACAATTCCATTTATGGCTAAAAATAGAGCATGCTGATAATGTTCTTACCCAGCGTGCAAACCCGAAAGAAGAGACCAAGCAGGTCCGTCACAGAGTCGACGGTATCCGGAAAGGCGGGCAGTGTGACGAACGCAATAATGGAGCCTGTGTAACAGGATGTTATGATAATAGTGAACAGCCAGTAGGAGCCGATTAAGAGGCGAGTGGATGTCTTTTCTGTATTGGCCCAGGCATATTTGCCCGTAAATGTGAACGCGTTAGTGAACATACCGAAAACGTACCAGAACATGTTCTCGATTTCACCCCAATTTCCCATTAGATGTCTCAGAGTTAGCCGATCCGTAAAGACAATGGGAAATACACCACCCAGATACACGGAGACCAGTGCCGCCCAGACTGGCCACTGAAAGGGCCCCATTATGGCCCGGTATTTGGGCAGGGCCTTCGACGCAAGCGTTATGAATGCCGCGCAGTCACGCGAGTGACCAACAGACATATCCGTCTCCAGCATCCTCGACTCCGTCAAGTAAATACCGGACATTCCTATGTCGACGCTGCCCTGTAAAATCTGCATCTGAATGCTGTCTACGGCACTGCGCGATTCGGCAACATTGGGCGTTTCAGTAATGTCCAAGCTGAAGTTTAGACGCTGGGCAATCATGTTCAGCAGACGCATCTCAACGCCGTCCCAGCGTAGCTGTCCCATCCCCGACGAGTCCAGCGACCGGATGCGAAAGATAAACGGTGGCTGATCGGCAGCCGATACCTGGAAACGATGTCCGGCAAAGCCATTCTGGAACTTGTTCGGAAACAAATTTATGTGAGAGCGTGAGAAGGCGCCTCGGATCCAGCTTGTCAGCACTATTCCATAATTGGAGCCCAGGCCATCTGCATATAACTTGTGCGTATATAAGACATAGGGTCGCTCCTGCATAAGCAAAAGAGAAAACAAGTAAGAACGTTGCAGTCAGGCGTTACCGACTGCGGAATACTCATTCACACCCCATAAGCAATTTAGTAGCCAA